ATTCGATTAAAACCAAACAGTATAACAATCCCAAGTCATTACAATCAAGATCCCTAACACATGAAACTAGAGCTCTTCATACCCAAGTGAGAGAAAGTTCAACTCCATAGAGAGAGAGAGGGAAACAGAATACAAAGCAGTCATACTCATAACAATGGGAAGAATCTGCTCTGGGATGTCAATCTTCACTCCTAGGGATGCAATCTGGGCTTCAATGGTGAGAAATCCACTCCAAATAGCTCCTAGGGTTTGTTCTTCGCACTTTCTCTCTCTAAAACTCTGTTTTTCTCCAAAAAGTCGATTCTCTCCCTTTTGGCTCGAATCTGCCTCAAAAAGTCGACTCTGGGCAAAACACGGTCGAGGGCACAGCCGTGTTTTGCTTTTGCTCGTCAAGCCCTTGCCACGTGTTAAAAACACGCCCACATCGGCCAAAACACGGTCGTGCCTAAAGATGGACACGGCCGTGTTTTCTGTCACTTCCGCCCATGTTTTGGGCTTCGCAGCAGCCTCCAAAAATCAACCCTCGGCATAAATAACACGGTCTCGAAACACGGCCGTGTTTTTATTTAGTCCAGCTCGTGTTGTTCTTCCTCATCAGTTCAGCTCTCGGCATAAAAAAAATTTGGCGTGCTCTTTTCGTGTACACGGTCGTGCTTTTCAGGCCTCCTGCCCGTGCTTTGGCCCCAGCTCAACAAAATGACCTCCAAATGCCCCGAAACTCGTGCTTAGTCCTTCGACGTCTGGGACCTGAAACATGACAAAGTAGCACCACCCCGCGTAAAATAGGCTAAAAACACACGACTACGAGCCGCAAACGGATAAGAACTAGGGGTACAAACATGTGCAAATACATCGTTATCGATAACACAATTTTGTTCTCCTTCTTTTGAATTCATTTTTCTTTATTAATTTAAAGTAAATTTCTTGTTTTTTTTTGGTGTAGTTCCTTTTGTGGTTTTCATTAGTCTAATTTATTCCAAATTTGATCCACAAGAATTATTGTATTTAAATTATATTTCATTTTAGGATTTAGACAATTTAGCAATTTAGAGAGTTTTTTCTATGATATATATCCTTTTGTTTTTATTTTTCAGGGTTTAGAGATTGATGTATTTTTCATTGATTAATACATTTAAGTTAAGAAATAAAGGTTAAATGAAAGAGTTGAATTATCGTTGATGATTTAGTGTTTATAATATTGTAAGAGTTAATCTGACTTCAAACATTCTTAAATGTTCTAACGGAAATGTTGGATCCACATTGTTAAATGTTTTTTATGGAGTTGAACGGAAACGAACGAGAGAGTGACTAAATGTGACATACTTCAGTAATTCGAGTGACATTCATAAAAAAAAAGTAATTCGAGTGATCGGAGTTGGACGGAGGCTAACGGGGGAGTGACTAAATGTGACCTGTTTTAGTAATTTGAGTGACCAAAATTGATATTAATTTTTTCTAGTGACTAAACATAACACGATTTAGTGATCCCAGTGACCAAATGTGACATTTACCCCTAGTTAGTATCCAAACAAATTATTTAAAATTTAAAAGTATAATTTTCCAATACCAAATCTAAATCCTTTTACCTAAATGAAGTAGAAGAAAACGAGAAGAGAAAGAAAGCAAACAATAGCTTAGTTTGGCCCTGATGTAGCTTTTGCAGAAGCAGTTTCTAGCTGGAGCTTTTAGATAAGTACTTTTCAAAAAAGCAGTTGAGTGTTTGACTGTAAAACTATTAGAAGTGATTTTTAATATGAGAGGTTGTGTAAAATTACTATAAAGGACTTATAATATAAAATATCAATAAAAATTCTAAACAATAAAAAGTAGTCAAAATGGATCTTGTTAGATTTCTTTTAGATTCTTTTATATTAAATAATATACTTTATAATATATTTTATTTTTAAAATGATATAAATGAAGGAAAATTATATTTTCTTAAATAAAATTAAAATATGATAAGAATAATCTTGTATTTTTAAAACAGCTTTTCGCAGAAGCTTCGATATGTTATACAAAAGCGCTTTTCGACTTTTCAAAAGCCGAGCTTTTACATGTGTTTGGCGCTTCTTCAATTTTTGAAACCGAAAAACACTTCTAAAAGTCGGGCCAAATATAGGGAATACAACTAGAGGTGGCAAATGGATTGGATTGATGGATTGGTGGATTGGATTGGTGGATCCATGGATCAAATGGATTGGATCTAATGGATTGGTGGATTCATGGATTGGATCAAGTGGATTGGTGGATTATCCATGAATCCAAATGACATCCTCAACCAAGGACCAATATGTAAAACGTAAAAAGTTTAGGTACTAAAATGTCACAATGAAAAATTTTAGGTACCAAAACGTAATTTTCCAATGATAATTTTCGTATAAAAAATTAAATTTTAGGTACTAAAATGTAAAAAATAAAAATTATAGGTACTAAACCGTAATTTGCCAATGATCCATGGATCCAATCCATGAATCCACCAATCCAATTGGATTTGGATCAAATGAATTGGATTTAAATGGATTGGATTAGGTGAATATTTTTAATGGATTGATGGATTGGATTGGTGGATTGGATTGAAATTGCCACCTCTAAATACAACCAACTGAATTGTCGGGTTGATATATTTCGGGAACAAGAAAGAAGAGAACAGAACAGGACGGCCGGAGGGCCGACCCGGTGGTTCGAAGCCCGAAAAATTTACATGGGCCTTCCCGACAAACAAAACTGCCCAAATCTCATTCGAAAAAAATTCGACCGTTGGGCCCTCAAACAGACATGATAACCGTTGAAAACCCCTTTTCCACGACCATTAAAAATATAATAATTTCAATCCCCTCAATAGAAATAGACAAAATAAAATTTATTAAAAAAAAAAACAGAAAAGAAAAGCAACTTTCCTCTCCCAACTCTCCACTTATCTCTTCCACGACCCCCACAACTCCCAAAAACCAGACCCAGAGAGAGACAGTTTCTCAAAAATGGGCTGCGTTTCTTCCAAACACGTCAAGAAGGAACTCCTCCGGGAGAAAACCATCCTCCACAACGGCAATGCCGCCGCCGCCGCAGGCGGTGGTAGCCCTCACCTCAACCACATTGTCTCCCTCACTTCCTCCACCTACGGCGCACTCCAACTCGACCAGCCTAAGCACCACCCTCCGCCGGTGCTCCTCGAGAAGCAGATCGCCCCGCCCGAATCCGTACCCGAGTCCGAACCCGAACCAGAGTCCCAACCTCCGCCGGAGGAGATCAATGCGGTGGAATTGATGGAAGGTCTGGAGGAAGGAGCCCCGCCCCAATCGAAGAAGAACAGCCCCAAATCGAGGCCGCCGTTCCTCCGCGGGTTCACCGAGTTCGACCCGCGGAGCCCGTTGAAGTTCATGAATCAAATCGGGTCGCCCCGGAAGGCCAAGACGTTCGGCGGCAAGGAGAACAAGTTCAACAAGAGATCCTCTTCTTCTTCCGACTTCAATTTCAGCCCCAGGCCGATCCTCAAGCCCAACAACACCAAGAATTGCAAGGCGGCGGTCCGGCTCAGTTACCCAGTCAAATCGTCCCCCAAACTCACAGACTCGACCGAATTGGGTTCTTCTTTTTCTTCTTCGTCTTCTTCAAACTCAAATTCCAAGAGGAGCTTCAACAGCAATCTCACCCCGCTGTTCGATCCGGAGCTCGTTAAACTGTACGAGCGCGAGATGGCGGAAGGGGAAGGAGAAGGAGAGCAAGTGAAGAGGATCATCTCGCTGACTCCCAGCAAAACCCTAAAACTACTGAAGAAGAATTCCCAAGAAGAGGATACAGAGGCATTGCTCTGTTCCTTCGAGGAGAAATGCCCTCCTGGGGGCGAGAACAGCGTGGTGGTCTACACCACCACGCTCCGGGGGATCAGGAGAACCTACGAGGACTGCAACGCTGTGAGATCGATCGTCGATTCGTACCACGTCCACGTCATCGAGCGAGACGTTTCCATGGATTCCGGCCTGAAAGAGGAGCTGAGAGGGCTGATGGGTACGAAGGAGGTCAGGGTCCCGCTAGTGTTCGTCAAAGGGAGGCTCGTGGGTGGCGCCGAGCAGGTCGCCAAGCTCGACGAGGAAGGGAAATTGGAGGCTCTGTTCGGCGGGATTCCGAGGAGGATGAGCTCCGGCTGCCGGAGATGCGGCGGGGTCAGGTTTGTGATGTGTAAAGAGTGTAATGGAAGTTCCAAGGTCTTGGATTGTGCTCTCAACAAGAAGGTGAGGTGTGGTAGGTGTAATGAGAATGGATTGGTTCAGTGCCCCATCTGCTGCTGATATTATTTGAGGGTGGGGGGATTTGATTCGTCGATGATTTGTGTAAAAGTTTGCTTCTTTTGGCGGCTATTCCTGTTCCTGAGGGAAGGAATGGAATGGAATGTAACACTTGTGACTTGTTAATTTAATTTGTTCAATCTTTGATCTTGCAGCAATCTTTCTGTTAGATTCGATTGAGGGCTAGATTTCCATTTGATCGTAGTCTCTGCATCGAAATAAATACAGTTCTCGATCTGGATTTCAATGCATGATCGCCGATTCGATTCTCGTTATCTTAATCTGATCTATCAGTAGATTTCCCAGTCTTCAGGCGGAAGTACCATTAGTAAACTCGGTCGCCGGTGAATGTAAACGGCGCCGTGTAGCTTGGCGAACGGTCGCCGGCGAATGTAAACGGCGCCGTGTAGCTTGGTGAATGGGCGCCGGTCCAATTTCCATTTGGAGACCGTTTATAGGTCCGGCGACATCCAAAAGAGTCAACGGCGGAAGTCAGAGTTGTGGTTTACGAAGCGACGTGGCGGTTAGCGATTGGGTTTAGGATGACGGGTACAAATGTGCAATGCTACATGGAAGAACTAGCGGTGAATTATTACACGTGTAGTCGGCGGCTCTGCTCTTTTCTACAGCGCAAGGCCAAACGGCACTATAATTTGGCTTTTATTTTCTTTCAATTTAATTTTTCCTTTTTTTTTAATTTGCCTTTTCTGGTATAGCTATATGATATCTCTCTCTTCCGCCTTTTCTCTCGTCTCGTCCCTCCATCACTCTGCGAAGCTGAATCTCAGCGGACGGAAGTTCTCTGCTTCCAATGGCGGGTAGGAAGAGAAGGAAAGTCAAATCGTGGGTACCTCGTTTCCCCGCTGGTTTTGTTACAAATCTGTGTGTCGACTCCTTTTCCATTTCCCCTCTGCACTTCTGAAATCCTTGTTATGCGTGGGTTTGGGATTAGGGTTTTGATGGCCTGATTTGATGGGCTTTAGAGCTATTTGTTTTGATTCCGGTCGTTCTTCTATGGTTTGGGCAGCAGTGGCCGGACTATGGGCGACTGGGTTAAGGGAATTGGGGTTTTCTTCTGCGTTTTCTTGTCGGATGGGTAGTAATTGAGTGTGATTTGCAGTGATGCTGTCGGTTATTCTCCCGTTTGGGTCATGCAAAGTTCAGTCCTTCGACTGACCTGAATTATGATTTTGATTTCTTTTGATGGACTTGTTTTGATCATCATATTATGCTTTTCATTTGCCTTATGGCAGCCCAGTGTAACTGTGCTTGTGTCCAGTGAAAGTTAGGGGTACCCTCCATATACATGTTGGTGATGCTTTTTTCCGTTGTTGGTATAGGTTAGCTGAAGCCGTGACCAATGACAGCAGAACACCGAGGTTCAAGAACAACAGTAAACAGAATTCAGATCTCCGGTCCTGGTCCGACCTTCCTATTGAGCTGCTGGAAATGATATTCTGTCGGTTGTCTCTTCAAGACAACATCCGTGCCTCAGTTGCTTGCAAGGGATGGCACACGGGTGCGGTCTCTGTCAGAGTGGTGAACCAACCTCCATGGCTCATGTACTTCCCGAAATTTGGTAACTTGTATGAGTTCTACGACCCATCACAGCGCAAGACCTATTCACTAGAGCTGTCAGAGCTTTGTGGGTCGAGAGTGTGCTATACTAAGGACCGATGGTTGTTGCTCTACAGACCTAGAACACATCGTGTCTTCTTTTTCAACCCGTTTACTCGGGAGGTCGTCAAACTTCCCAGGTTTGAGTTGACGTTCCAGATAGTCGCCTTCTCTGGTCCACCAACAACTTCAGGCTGCGTGGTATTTACAGTGAAGCATATCAGTCCTACAGTTGTTGCTATCAGCACTTGTCACCCCGGGGCAACCGAATGGGTTACTGTTAATTACCAGAATCGGCTGCCTTTTGTTAGTAGTATATGGAATAAGATAGTTTTCTGTGATGGAGTCTTTTACTGCTTGAGTCTTACGGGTTGGTTAGGTGTTTTCAACCCGACGGAACGTACTTGGAACGTTCTTGCTGTACCGCCCCCTAAATGTCCTGAGAACTTCTTTGCTAAGAACTGGTGGAAGGGGAAATTCATGACCGAGCATGATGGAGATATTTTGGTTATTTATACTTGTTGCAGTCAGAATCCGATTATATTTAGGTTGGATCAATCAAACATGGTCTGGGAAGAGATGAGTACTCTCAATGGGTTGACATTGTTTGCAAGTTTCTTGTCATCTCATTCTAGAATTGACCTGCCGGGAATTATGAGGAACAGTGTCTATTTCTCTAAGGTTCGCTTCTTTGGGAAAAGATGCATATCCTATTCTCTTGATGATCATAGATACTATCCTCGGAAGCAGTGTTATGATTGGGGTGAACAAGATCCTTTTGGGAATATTTGGATTGACCCTCCTGATGACCTCTCGAGTATCCTCTGAGCAGCACCTGAAGCAGTTTTGGTCATCTTCAAGTTAAGCATGCACTATACTACTCTCTTGCCCGTATAGTATATCACAGTTTGCAAAATAATCAATTATGTGCTGTTTGTAGAAAACTGTATGTTTGATATTACATTAAGTTCTGAAATGTAGAACTGAATTGTCAAAGATATATGCACTTTCTCTTAGTAGGTATAATAAGGTGGTTGACTTCACTTGATCCTATTCCGAGTTCATGAGTGGTGACTGTAATTTTCTGGTAATGGTTATCATTCTCATTAGGGTTGTCAATTGTTGTTGTGTCAACAGGTTTAGGAGAACTTATTATCCGCATCATAGTCAACCGCTGGGGATTTCTGCAGGAAAGAAGCACAAGCATATGCATACTGCGGTCGTTGTGATGTGATCGAAGGGAAATATTAGGAAGTTGTTTTGCCTGCTGAGAACTGGCAGTTGGTCCCTAAGAGAAAGTTGTTTAATTTAATCCCTCTTTTGATCCCCTTGATTGAAGGAGCAAGGGACACAAAAGTGTATGTATTTTTATAGAATAGTGTTGTGCATCGAATGGATGTATGCCTCACAATTGTAATGTCCAAACCAACTGCGTTCCAATAAAGTGCATTGTTAGTTTTGTGCCTTGATTTACCTGAAAATGTACTATAACGAAATATAATCATATGAGCATTGTTGCTGCAACCTGGTTAAAAGTATCCCTAGAATCTAACGGATGCAGGTGTCAGAACATGTTGATGTCATTAGATCATGTGTTCAGTGATCTTCAATTGCTTGTCCAAAAAAAAAAAGATCTTCAATTAAGTTCTCTATTTAACTTATTTTACCTATTTTGTAAATTAGTTTCTCGGCAGCCGGTGTCGAAATCTTCATCAGCAAGGAAAACACTAAAAACCTAGACAATTTTCACACATTCACTATATGATTTCGTACAGAAGGGTTTACTCACCAATGGGAAACTTTACTAACAAGGGGAAGAACCATTTTTCCATGTTTCCATCATCTAACAATACAAATCCATTCATCAGCATACAATGTCAAGCTAGCAGAACGGGTTCAGTGCTGAACATTCGGAGTTGTACACACAAAGGTTAATATGGATTGTAGCGCCCACGTCCACGATTACTGTCATTATAACGTTTACCACTGCCGGAGCTGCTTGAACCGCCACCTCTACCACCACGATGTTGGAATACAGGGGGATGTGGTTGAATCTCAGGCTGCTGCCTGCAGAAGAACAACCAGAAGCCATTGTCAAACTTAGCCACTAATAGCTACCTTCTCCAGAAGTTCCGCAATAAAAATATAAGCTGATGTGAGCATGTAGCAGGCTAGCAGAAGCCAGAAGTGGTGGGATTGGTAATAAGAAGAATAAGATGTCACTTACAATACATATCCAACCCTTCCATCGGGTAAGAACATCGGCATCATTGCCATGCTAGCCGGAGTTGGTCCCCTACCATAAATTAAAGGCTGCAAAAAATTTGCTCCTTCAGAATATAAAATCTACAGAGACGCATGGAGTGTGTTTTAGCACACACCAACACACTTATTCATCAGACGTTATTTTTGTTTATCTTGCAAAAGCTCAAACAAACCCACCCCATAACATCAGATAATATTCAAGTAACAATTGGATGAGATGCCAGAAAATCTACAAACATCCTTTAAAGGAGAATAGGTGTTCTTACTTGAGCAAAGGCCGCAGCACCATATCCACCAATAGCACCATAAGGATTTCCTACTAAACCATACCCAAGACCAGGGGGGAAACTTGGATTGAAGGCTGCCTTTTGTGAAGTAGTTCCTGCAACAGACTTGTTATTATCTGCTTGAGGCTTGGCCAAAGAACAATCCAGAACTTGACCTGTCAAAATGAAAGAAGGGGCATAGTTAATGGTTCACACTCTCTTAAATAAGAGATACAGGAACACACAATAAAGAGAGAGAAGGGAGGGGACCCTTTACCATCAATTTCATATCTCTCAGTGTTCTTCAGTGCTTTCATGGCACTCGATCTTTCTGAGAAGTGCACAAACCCAAATCTGCTCCTCTCATGTCCTGGTTTTGCAGGGGGGAGAACTACTTTGGTTATATTTCCATGGTGTTCAAACAGCTGCCTCAATTGATCTTGAGTTATATCTTTTGGCAAGTTCTTCACATAAATAGCCCTAACCTGCATCATAAGCATGCCTCATGAAACGCCCATCATGCTGTCTTTGAAAGATTTGTGTGGACTCATTAAAGACTCAACGGATAACCCAAGCCACATGGATCTTTTAAGAACATGAAAAGCCAAATCCAAATACTTCTTTAAAACAACTGATAAATCATGAAGTTTGAGAACAAACGTTACTTCAACTGAAGCACTCAATAAATAGGCAACAACCAAAGTACGAAGATACCAACACTATTAGCCTTAAAGACAAAATGTACAACAAATGAAGTGTTGCAGCTCCTTCACCAACATTCAAATAGAAAATGGCAAGAACTATTCATGAGCCTATCAAGACTACATAGTACCTGAGAAGCAGCAGAAGATCCTGCATTTTTCGGATCAGCCCAGCTCACTGTTGGGGCATTATCATCCAGTTTAAACTCTGGGGTTGACATCTTTTTCCTAGAGTACTCTGCGCATGCATGATTATAGTACTCTAGAAAAGCAAATCCTCGATTCCGAATAGGGTTCTGCGGATCCTGTAACAGGAAGTGGCAACTGATCATTATAATGGAGCAGCAGAAGAAAAAACAAGTCAACAATGATAAGGAACACAGGCAAAACTTGTGTGACTGCAGAAGACATCAAACGATTGTCGACAACAAGACTATTGCAATCTCAGTAAATCTAATTTCATGTTGATGTGAAGTTCAAACTAGTCAAACCTTCAACAGTTCCACAGAAACAACTCCTGGTCCTATCTTCATTACGACATTCTTCATATCTTTCTCCCCCCAACTTCTTGGTATATTACCAATAAACAGCCTATGATTTGCTTGAGACGCGGAGCACTTGACTTTCTTACCCTGAAAACAGCAGTTCAAATACAGGTAAAATAAATTATAATGAATTTCAGACCACCAGCAAATGAAACATAGAAGAACAAGCTAGTTGACATATTTTAAGAAGTAAAAGAAAAGAGTCACCTTAAATTCAGAGTTGTTTAGATCCTTCATGGCTTTATTAGCCAACTCCTTTGTTCTGAAAGTGACAAATGCATAGCCCTTGCCTTCACCTGATTCTTTTCCTTTCATTATCCTCACCTGATTTCATTCAGGAATGCAAACTTTAAATCTGTCCTGAATCTAAGAGACCAAGAATATCCACTATAGAAACGAGAACACAAACTTACCTCTGTAACTTCTCCAACCGATTCACAAAAATGTCTCAAATCATGTTCAGAAACATCATGGGGGATACCTCCAACATAAACCTCAGACCCGTGAGGGGGTAGTGCCAGGAGTTCAGCATGCTTCTTTTCCTCACTTTCCTCTTCACCGTTGAAGCCTTTTTCTGAAGTACCATTAGAATTATCCTCCTCATCTTCTTCTACCTCCTCTTCCACCTCTTCCTCTTCGACTTCTTCCTCTTCAACTTCTTCCTCTACTTCCTCATACTCAACCTCTTCCTCCATCTGTTCTTCAAGGTCATTATCATCTTCAAGATCAACCTGTTCCTCGGGCTCAGAGTCCACAGACTTTTCATTTTCCCTTGTCCTCGGCATTTTATGTTATCTAATAGAGAAGCTTTCAAGGCAAACTGTGAAGGAAGCACAGCAGCCAGAAGCATTCATGGAAGAAAGAGTACAAGTATTGAAAGGTGGAAACAAAGTGAGAGGCGAAATGGATTTCAAGAGCAAGAGAATTTCGAGAATTTGAGCCATAAGAAAGATAAGGATCCAAAGGAGGTGTAAGAAGTGATATTCAATTAAAGGGATCCAACGAAGTGCCAAATAGCAATAAAACAAGCAAGGGAGGGTCACAACTGATGATGAAGAGGACGATGTTCAATAGGTGAAACAGAAAAAATATGTAATAATGAAGCAGGCCGATGCTTGATATTGAAATGCCATTGGCCAAGAAAATAGGTGTGGTTTTGATTGTTCAATACTATCTGGAGATATACATCTACCCAGAACAAGGGCCAAACAGAAAAAACAAACAAACAAAATAGAAAGGTATGAATGAGATACAGAACTAATTCCATCGACTTTCTAAATAAGCAAAGCTCAACTCAACACAGTGCGAGAGTAATAGACTATAACAATCAGGAAAACCGAAAAATAATCACATGATTACCATATAATAAAATTAGTTTGAAAATAAGATTGGGGATTAATGGGTGGGAGATACATGCTCTTAAGTACATGACTGCAGACTAACTCCCTATTCTGCACTGCCACTTTAAAGCATAATCCAAACCAAGATTAATAAGGCGGCATTGATATTTTAGAGAAATTAACCCATTGTTACTAAATTGATCCCCTATTCCTTGCAGTCAGTGCATTTTTAGTACGGGTGTAGTAACTAGCAATACAGAAACCAAAAGGAGGATATAAGTTCTAAAGTTCTGCTCAAATTATATACTGAATCATGAACAAATAGGGCGCACCTAGTACAATGGAAACTAACTTCTTATTCCATCATTGATATACCAAAGACAAACACCATTGGGCAGCCTAAATGACCAAATACAATTCCATTGTTCTCCAAATAGGGGACAAGCAAACTAACACCAACAACACAAAGTTGCTCCTAAACACTGCTTGAGCAATACCAGCCCCACAAGGCCTCCAAATGGCCAAAGATGAACCAAATATGGAAAGAGCCAGCCCATTAGTGGGAAATGAAGCCAAAAGTTGTGAACTTTCACCACAAACCAAACACGAAATCGATTGCTCATTAACCTACAGCTAGGCTAGACATCCCCGCAAAACCACTTTCACCGCCAACCCAAACATTCACATGCAGTCAGACCCAGTAATTCCTCAGCCCTTCTACGCTCACCAAACGAGGGAGCTCAAACTTTGATGAAGCGAATTAAAAATTAGCAAGGAAATGTAAGAAAGAGATGTCCCATTCAGTAAAATGAAGATAGACAAATGAGAAGGGTTCATTGAGCTCCATTGACATTTAAGGGAAAGAGGTAACGGTCATAATTAGATAGAGAGAGCGCGATTACCAGGAGAGTATGGAGAGTAAAGAGTACAGAGCAACGCCTGGCACGGGATAAAAATGGCGGGGATTCGTTGCGCTGTGGGAGTTTATGTTGAGGAAACCCTATTTTTTCTGAGATTCAGAAGGGGAAGGAAGAAAGAGAGAGAGGGACCCGGATAACGGTGTCGGGTCGGGCCATTTTCGTTTTGTTTATCTGAACTTTTTGGCGGGGCCTGCGCTTTTAGTTAATTACTTAATTAGCTTGGAGGACGAGGAGGCGGGGCTGAGCGGTTCCCGGCTGGGGTTAAATAGCAATTTGGTCACTGAACTCTACTACATCTGGCATGTTGATGCCATGATTTCTTTTCTTAAACATTTGAAAACTAAATTCAATTGGATGTGTTGATTTTAGCCATTGTATCACTTTCAAGTTTCAACTCAAGAATGTTATTAATCCATAAAATCCTCTTCGGTCAAAAATAAAAAAAAAATCATGAACTTTTTGACATGACACATTTGTTTGTCACCCATACGATTAATTGAAGTGCTTAGATTATTACTTACAACAACCAAGCAAGTTTGTGCATGAACCAAATTCAAAGCCCAAATAATTCTAGATAAATGTAACATTAACACTCCCCAAACTTTGCAATAGTTTTTTGTTTTCATATGATGTAGGCTCTCAAAAGCTATCATCACATTATCAACAATAGATCGTCCCTGTACAAACGCTTATTGTTTAACTGAGATTATCCTGAGCATCAAAGGTCTTATAGGTTGCCAAAACTTTCGCCATAATTCTATATATCACATTACACAGGGAGATCAGTCTCAAGTATTTCATAGTGAATGTGGTATCCTTATTAGGCAACTGAACTATTATTGCACATAACAAATACTTCCTCCCGGTCAAAAGTGTTGAACAAATTCGGGGTTATAGCCGTCCGGGCCAGTTGCCTTATTCGGGCTCATAGCAAACACCGCCTATCGAATTTCTTCCGAGAGCCAACAAGTAACCGGTGTCATCTTATGTTACCACCGATGTAGTAAAAATCACGTTTTAAAACTTAAAAACTTAAGATTTTACGCCTCTAGGTCACCAAAATGCTTCTATGCATAATTACTCCCTTTTTTTTTACTAATGTAGTTAAAAACACCCTTAAAACTTATATTTTTACGTTTCTAGGTCACCAAAACACTTCTACTTAGAAACACGTTTTTTACTATATTGGTTACGACCTGCGTCATCATGTTTACAACCGACTCAGTCACAATTTCCAGCCTTGAACAGCTTAGTGACCCTGGCAATCTTTGCCAATTCTGCCTTCCTCTCCACCAACTACCCATGTTCATCTTGTAAACAACTTATTTCCTTATGCTTCTAATGCTTGTTCGCCATAAAATGGAAAATTGAGTGTTCATATCTCTCGGGCTGTTAATCGGTGCGGTTTCGGTTTAACCGAACCGCACCGTCGGTTAGCCGAAATCGAAATTGGCCCATATTCCCCAACCGAAGTCGAAACCGAAGAGAGCTCGGTTAACCGCCAACCGCAATCGTCGGTTTCGGTTTGATGGAGCGGTTAGCCGAAACCCGCTACGACGAGTTTTGGGAGGGAGTTCGGCCACGACGAAGGCTGGAAGCGGGAGGGCGGCGACGCGAAGAAGGCTGGGAGCAGGAGGATGGCGCTGCGACGAGCTCGACGGCGAGGCTAGGGTTCAGCCGTTCAGAAATGGGGAGGCGGAGGAGCGGCGGCTGAGATTCTGATGTCGTCTCCTTCGTCTTCGATTTGCGATTTAGATTTAGGTCAGGGGAGGGGACTGCGTCTGGGTCTGGGTGGCCGAGAAGAGAAGTGGTATCAGCCCAAAGGAGAAACAATGCCGAATTAGTGACTGGGTCGATTTTTGCGATTAATTTGTACGGTTGCGGTTTTCCACCGCTAACCGCTATAATTGCTCCAAGCCGGGAAACAGGCAACCGCAACCGCAAACCGCAACCCAATCTCGGTTTTCGGTTGGCCATCAAACCCAACCCAACCCAAAGATTGGTATGTATCATACTGTAACATCCCGTTCCGGCAAAACCATATTTCGATCGCTAGAGAGTTCGCGATTTAAAATCGAGCGTTTTGATAGTATTTTGACAAAAATCGGATTATCGATCTATCGAATAAGTACCAATTACTATATATAAATATACCTATACTAATATTACTACACGTGTGTGCTGTTGAACTAAAAGCAAACTTAAACTAAAAATGAAAAGAAATGGACGGAAAGGATGAGGTGGAATAATCACTTTCCATTATATATATATATATGTACGTGTCCTCTTCTCCCATTCCATTTTCACGTTCCATCTTTCCTTTTCTGTGACCGAGAGATACGAAAGCATAGCGAGCAGAGCAAGCAGGGGAGCTCGACGGAGAATCAGCAGAGCTAATTTCTTGAGCTTGAGTGTGGAAAAATGTAGTAAGTAATACCTAATTCATCTATACATCGTAGTTTATCGATTTAGAGCTTTAAAACGAGTTTTTGGTTCAGGAATTTCTTGAATTCCCAATAAGGCAAACTAGGATTTTGGAGTATCCGGAAGCCGGATTGAGCCCAGATTTCATATACGAGCTTCCTGCAGCGAGATAATTAATCCTCTGGTTCTAATCCCTGAATTTCGGCAATTATTTAGGTCGGGGTCCAAATCGCTGAATTTAGCTCCGGCCAGGGTTTGATGTGTTTTTATCGAGAATTTGACCCGGAGCCTAGAACTAACATTGACGGGATACTGCAGGGGATATTAGGACGGTCTCGAATTTTAATTCGGGGTTCGTTGGTGAAATTGACGTTTTAGTACGGGAAGGTTAAATCGGTGTTTGAACGACCAGACTAGTGAGGGATTAGGGGTGTATGAACTTTTGTGCTGTATGATGAACCCGGGTTTGAACGGCATACCGGTTTTTTCGTATCACGATAATTATATTGATGCTTAGAATTGACCTAGGTGAACTAGAATGGCATGATTAGGGGTGTATGAACTTTTGTGTTGTATGATGAACTCTGGACTGTTGTATGATATTATTGACTTGACTTAGCCGATATGGACCTTGTTTATGTAATTATGTTGATGATTGCATACATGTTGCCATTTGTGGCTTAACCGTTGATATGACTTCATGGTTGTTCGATCAGGTGTTTTGACATGATGTGATATTGTGGTTGTATTTGGATTCACAAGTGGGGGAAATAAACTTCCCAAGGTGATATTATGATGTTTTAAGGAGGATGACTTGCACGAGGGTTTATCCCGAGGAAGTGCAACTATACGACTCCTGGTTTACCTATGTTGAGCCAATTATGGTCAGGTCAAGTACATGTGCAAGTAATGAATTATGATTAAACAAGATGAGATATGAATCATGTATAAGGATACCAAATATGAGTGTTGTGGTCTCACGGTCAACTACATTGTCATTAGGGCTCCCTATGCTATTACTCTATTATGATATGTATGATAGTCACACCTCTCATGTGGTGGTGACTGAAGAATTCTTACGAGATATGACCACACCCAGAGCGGTGTTGGGGTATGACTACACCCATAGTGGTGTGGGGTATGTATGACCACATCCGACGGGATGTTGGGGTATGTATGACTACATCTGACGGGATGTGGGGTATGTTTCCCGGGAGAGTTATTAGCATGGGGTAGCCAGGCGCCTATAAGTAAAACATGATAAGATGCATATGCATAAGTCAAGATGATTGAGTCTTTTGCCTATTGGGATGTCGGATGGCTGAGGTCTGATCCTAGTGCTTTGGCTTGTTTGCTAGATGTATGGTAGGGGTATGCTCTGTTATGAACTCACGATGCAATGATTGTCTCACTCAGCTTTGAGCTGATCCTCTTTTATTCTTCGTCTCTGCTTATGCTATGTGTAAGCAGATCAGCAGCAACAGTAGATAAGTGTTAGGTGGGAGAGGAGCTAGAGTTGAAGTCAAGATGAGGTATGGTCTTCAACTATTCTGTGCTTGGACGACTACTTGGGATTTTAGCCAGTGATCCACACCTTTTTGTAAAAATGTTTTGAGAACGTTTTTCATGTGCATACTAGCTTCTGATAAAGTGTGAGATATCCACAGGTGTGGAAGGTTGATGATATGTGTATAGTTGTGTAAGTTGTGACGATTATGACATTTATAAGTATGGTATGTAGTTGCAGAGTACGAAAGTGTGACTATGGCTACGAAAGCCAATGTACATGGTTGTGAGTATATATGTATGTCTACGAGTGCAGGGATTCAGATAAATTATTTTGCAGGTCTAGTTGCAAGAACTGTTAGCCCATTACACGAGTAATTCATGTCGAAATTTTATTTGATTTTTTTATAATTAATGTAACACCCGATATTAATTCCGCTGCAATTGTATGAACAATATGATTAGGCAAAATGTATAGGGTAGGGTGTTACACATACTGTAGGGATGGCAATTTTGCCCATACCCATGGGTTTTTAACTATCCAACCCAATTGGGTTGGGTATGAAATCCAAATAGATGGATATGGGTAGAGTTTGATGGGTTTGTACCCATACCCATTTACTTTGGGTTGGGTTGGGTTTATAACAAATGGATTTGGGTTTGTACCCATGCCCAAATACAAATTACAGTTTGGTACCTAAACTTAATAGATATGCATATTTAGTACCTAATTTTTTTTGCATATAAGTCCTCAAAATATCGATGGAACTTATGTTTTGGTACCTAAATTTTTTTGTCTTACATTTTGGTACCTAAATTTTTCAAGTTTTACAAATAGGTCCAATTTTTGCATGTGTAGTTAAAACACCCTCAAGTAAATGGATATCCATATCCAACCCATACCCATTTAGATTATGGAAGCAATATTCATACCTTACCCAAACCCATCTACAAACCCCCCAAACCCATATGCACTTCACCCATACCCAACCCATTATCAATGGTTCTACTTGGGTTTGGGTATAATTACCCATGAGAGGGTAATTGCCATCCCTACCATACCGTACCCAAATTTGGTGGGAAATGTGAAAGGTGAGCTTAAAAGAAATTTTTTTTATGGAAACATACTATACTTTTATTAAGTAGAAATCGACGTTACATCAT